AGGAGCAGAGGGCAGAGCATCCCCCAGAATGGGATGGAGACGGGGGCCGCCAGAAGCAGAGGGCAGAGTGTCCCCCAGAATGGGATAGAGACAGGGATCACCACCAGGAGCAGAGGGCAGAGCACCCCCCAGAAGGGGACGGAGACGGTGGCCACCAGGAGCAGAGGGCAGAGCGTCCCCCAGAATGGGATGGAGACAGGGGCCGCCAGGAGCAGAGGGCAGAGCGTCCCCCAGAATGGGATGGAGACAGGGGCCGCCAGGAGCAGAGGGCAGAGCGTCCGCCAGAATGGGATGGAGACGGGGGCCACCAGGAGCAGAGAGTAGAGCGTCCCCCAGAATGGGAAGGAGACGGGGGCCGCCAGGAGGAGAGGGCAGAGTGTCCCCCAGAAGGGGACAGAGACAGGGGCCACCAGGAGCAGAGGGCAGAGAGTCTCCCAGAACGGAATAGAGACGGGGGTCACCACCAGGAGCAGAGGGCAGAGCATCCCCCAGAATGGGATGGAGACGGGGGCCGCCAGAAGCAGAGGGCAGAGCGCCCCCCAGAAGGGGATGGGGACATTCCCCCTGACTGCGGGAGGCAAGTGCTGGCTTGAACAGGTGGACATGGGGGAGAGAGGGGAGAGCGCTTTATCAAAACAGTAGTTATACCAGGAAATTTAAGGCAAAGAGAAGACAGGAGCCAACAGGAGGGGTGGGGTGTTTGAGGGCTGTGGGGGGAGGTGATTCCTGGGGGGACTGAGCTGTCCGAAGTCTTGAGGAGGGCACCTAGGGGGTGGTGGAGGGACTTACGTCGGCTGGCTGCCTGGACCATCTGCCCTTGGAGATCCCATGTAGCCACGAAGCTCTATGATTCTGAGGTGAGGATCAGGGGGTCCCCTTGCGGGAAGGGGTACATTGAGGGGGTCTTGCTCTTGGGTAATTACAGGCCCTCAGCTTGAAACCACACAGCTGGCGTAAAGGAAAAGGGGCTAAGGAGGGAAGATCCCCCCAAATCTCTTCCTGGGGCTGCAGAAGAGTGGAGAGGGGGTCCTGTGGGAGGCTGGAGCTGCGGAGAGGAGGACACGGACACCGGGCCGCAGAGCAGGCGTGGGGCTGGGCGCCTTGGGGAAGAGCTGGGGCAGGCGGGAGGGGAGGGGGCGGCCGTAGTAGCGGGACGGAGCGCTGAGTCAGAGCTGGGGGCAGGGGAGGGAGGGCCAGGAGAAGGGGTGATAGCAGGCGGAGGGTTATCTATGGAAATAAACCCGGGTTCAGAGAAACCAGGCTTGCGGGGAGCGCGTTTGTTTGTAATAATAATACGAATTATTCCCTCAGCCTGAGGTCGCTGGGGTGTGTAGGCGGTAGAAACTGGGAGTCAGAACGGGGAGATCGCGGGGTTGGGAGAGGGTTGGAGTAACTGGC